AACCCCCTTCCCCTCCCCCTTTTCTGATGAAGGGTCTAGGCCCGAAACGTCAGCCTCTCTGCTCCTATGATGCTGCTTGGCCTGCTGTGTTCAGCCAGCCCCGCACCTTGTTGTCTCGGATTCTCTAGCATCTGCAGTTCCTACTATCTCTGAGCCCTTTGACCCAATTGATCAAGATCTCTTTGTAATCTTAGATAACCTTCTTCACTGTCCACTATACCACCAATTTTGGTGTCATCTGCAAACTTACGAACTGTACCTCCTATATTCTCATCCAAATGGTTTACATAAATGAAAATAAAAGTGGACCCAGTACTGGTCCCCTGTGGAACACTGCTGGTCACAGGCCTCCAGTCCAAAAGCCAATGTTCCATCACCATCCTTTCCACAATCAAGTTTGTATCCAATGAGCTCATCCTGAATCCCACGTGATTTAACTTACTAATCAGCCTACCATATGCGGAACCTTGTCAAAGACTTTACTAAAGTTCATGTAAGCAATGTTTACCACTCTGTCCTCATCAATCTTTTTGGTTACTTCCTCAAACAACTTAAACAAGTTTGTGAGACATGATTTCCCTCGCACAAAACCACGCTGACTATCCCTAATCAATCCTTGCCTCTCCAAATGCATTTATTCCTATCTTTCAGAATCACCTCCAACAAGTAACTTACCACCAAGGTCAGACTCACAAGTCCATAGTTCCCATGCTTCTCCTTACATCCCTTCTTTAACAAAGGCACAACATTAGCCACTCTCCAGTCATCTGGCACCTCACCCGTTATTATAGATTATGCAAATATTTCTGCAAGGGGGCCTGCAATTTCATCCCTAACTTCCCACAACATTCTGGGATACACTAGATCAGGTCCCAGAGATTTATCCACCTTTATATTTGCTGGGACCTCCAGCACTTCCTCTTCTGTAATGTGGACTGCTTTCAAAACATCAATATTTATTTCCCTGAGTTCTCTAGTGTCCATTTCCTTCTCCACAGTAAAACTGATGCAAAATATTCATTTAATATCACTCCCATCTCCTGAGGTTCAGCACAAAGATGACCTCTTTGATCTTTAAGAAGCCTTACTCTCTAGTTGTTCTCTTGCTTTTAATGTACTTACTGAATCTCTTTGGATTATCCTTAAACTTATCAGCAAAGGCTATGTCATATCCCCTCTTTGTGCAGCAGTCAATGAAGGTAGATGGTACATTGGCCTTTATAACAAGAGGAATTGAGTACAGGAGCAGGGGTGTCTTGCCGTGAATGTATAGGGCCTTAGTGAAAACACGCCTGAAATATTGTGTATAGCTTTGCTCTCCTTATCTAGAGAAGGATGTTCTGTCTACAGAGGGAGTGTGTAACACAAGTTTATCAGACCGATTCCTCGAATGGCATTCTGATGTACGGAGGGACACTGGATCAATTAGGATTATATTCACTGGAGTTTAGAAGAATGAGGTGGGATCTCATAGAAACCTATAAAATTCTAACAGGTCTAGACAGGGTAAGCACAGGAGAGATAATCCCAATGACCAAGGAGTTCAGAAGGAGGGCTCTTGGTCTAAAGGTGTGCCATTTAGGACTGAGATTAGGAGAAATATTGCACAGAGAGTAGTGAGCCTTTTGGAACTCTCTGCCACAGATAATGGTTGAGACCAAAACATTGAATGTTTTCAAGAATGGGTTAGACAGGATTCTTAGGGCTAAAGGGATCAAAGGATATCAGGAGACAGCGGACACAGGCTACTGAGTTGGATGATCAGCCATGATCGTAATGAATAGCATAGCAGGCTCAAAGGGCTGAATGGCCTACTCCTGTGGCTGTGTTTCTATTTATACCTCTTCCGAAAGAAAGGAGTTATCTATATCTGCT